AATCAAACACAGTCCGCAAAAAATTTGATATTACTGAGAGATGTGAAAATGGTAAAAATTTGATGACAGATAATAGATTCTAGTCTAGTCTTCTAGTTCCAGAAATGAAGATTCTTTTTCAATGTCTAATATCCTCTACATAGTGTTTTTGGAAAAAACAGAGAGAGAGAGGAAAGAAAAGCTCTGCGATGAAAAAAGACACTAGCAGTTTTTTATTCAAAGAAAAAACAAGAATGATTCAGAGGACAAGAAAAGAAAAAAAATTAGTCAGCTAAAGATTATTTACAATAGATATATTGTGTTTTAATAATAAATTTAATTTGAGAATAAAACAATAAAATATATCTAATTAATTTTATGAATGAGTCATATTTTAAAATATTTAAAAATCTCATCTATAATTTATGGAAGCTGTATTCTTTGAGACCAATGAGTTAATTTCCCTAGAATTTAATAGAAAATTTATTTTTTAGCACAATTTCAAAATTTCTCCTAGCATCAATTGAAGGCAGAGCATAAATGTAGGTGTTATCTTTTTAAATCCAATATGAGAGCAATTTTAAAATAAAAATAAATTATTATTTATATCTTTAACATATTTGGGTAAAACAAATTTTAAAATAGAATAAATTTTTATTTCAATTTAAATTTACATAAAGTAACATATTACAACTACACAAAAATAAATTATTTTAAAATTTTTATCTTTTTATTATGCTTACTCTTCAAATGATAAAAGATCTTTGTAAATACTGGAAGATACTTCAAACAAGTTTTTATAGAACCTATACACACGTAAGATGCACGGGTCAAAATCTAGTTTATATGAAAAGCTAGGAATAAATAAATGAGCAAGTGTATTATATTTTGTTTAACATTTTTTGTAAATTTTATCACATTTATATCTATTTATTACTTACAATGTATTTATCTGTTCATATTTTTGTTTACCTGCACCTAAAAAGGTATTATTTATAAGGAAAAAAAGTAGGTGAGTCAATATGCTGAATATTAGCCGGCCTCACCAAGTATTAAATGTCAATGATAAAAAAAAAATAAGTGAAATGTCTCTATCAAGGATTTATCCAATGTTTAAAAAATTGGAAACAATGATACGCGGTTTAATAATAATACGATTGTGATTAAGCGCAAAACTGCATTAGTCAAATAATAGTTAAAAAGAATTGAGATTGTACTATTCATATATGGTATGAATTTATACAATATTGTATCAGTTTTGTGTGTGTGTATTGAAAAGTAATATTTAAAAATATAAATATTACAACTTAATCTATTTTATGACTATAATAAACCAATATGATTTATGTAAGATTCGTTAAACAGCATAGCCCTTAAAATGTTAAATCTCTAATTTAGATAAAATAAAAAATTAATCAAATATCAATTCATCTATTTTTTATGTATTTTTTACAACTTCAATTTTTCTCAATATTTTTCAAGTCAATTTTAATATAGGATTACAATTCACCAAGCTCCTGGGTCTATCAATTTTTCTCAACAGAAAAATCTTCTCTTTTTTGTGGAAGGGTTAGAATTCTAGACATTATCACATCCCCCTATACTCTTATTACTTGAACTAGCATCATCAGCTTCAATCAAATTAAATACCATAATAGCAAAATAACAACTTTAACTATGAGCTAAAGAGTGCGGTAAAAAAAAAAAAAAACTATGAGCTAAAGAGGTGGCACTCAATTTACTTTTACACCATCCTTGCAACAACAATTAAACCATGCAATTTTACCCAAAAAAAAAACATACACAAATCTCCCATGAAAAATGTTGGCATCTGGCAGAATAAGCATAATGTCTTTAAAATATTTCAAGGTTAATCAAACTCTTTCTAGATTAATTAAGGAGTAGATCAGTGATAATCGAAAGTTACCCAAAGTTGAGGAGAGAATAAAAATGGTCGAGAAAAAAGATTCAATAATTGTGAAGAGGAAAGCAACAACCATTATATATATGGTTGCTTTGATTGATGACATTAATTTCAAAAGATTATGAAACAGGGTGGAGAGATAAGTTAGCTGGGGACATGGTCCTTCCTAATTTTTTAATTTTTTTCTTAATAATATAGAGGTTATGTATTTTTGACCTTCTAAGTTGATAAATTATAAAATTTTTGAGACACTACATAAAATTTTTATTTTAATTTTATAATAATCTTTTACACGTGTACAATTCAATTGTTACAGTAGTTTAAAGATATAGTTATTATATAATTCACTTATTTTCAACAAGATAACGTCACCATTACTCTTAAAGCATTGATATAATTTGATTTTGTTTTCATTTTATATTTGATGAAAGGAATTACAAGAATTATTACTAATAAACTTTATAAAGTACTGTAATAAAAATTTCAAATCAAAATATATTAAATGAAGAACATATAAATTAAAGGAATTAAAAAATAAATTTAATAAGCAAGCAATGAAAATTTTTTATATTGAACAGAGCTTTAAATCTTAAGAATACATTTAAATTATTCAATACTTATAGAAAAATTAAAATATCTCCAGTTTAATGATAATTTATATTGAGAAGCAAATTTTTAAAAATTTTATCATAAATATGATAATTAATTATTTTTATACCATGACAAATTAATGAGCAAAACTTAAAAAAATAAAGATATATATTTATTTTTATTATATATAATACTATATATAATTGAATATAAATATATTGGTTGAAGTATTTTTATTTTGTTAGTTATATATATATATATATATTTTTAATTTTCTTTTAATTATTATATATCCTTTGTCATTTCAGCTCTGCCAAACAAAATTTTTTGGTTCCACCCCTGTTATGAAACTTATATTTTGATTTGGCAAACATCAAAAAGTTTGTAGGGGCGGCTGGAATCCATGATGCTGAGCATCACAAGGATGTCTTGGTGCCAACTGCCAAGTGAACCAAGCGTTCTTGGCAAGGACATGGAACTTAACGTCTTTGAACCTATAATAACCCGAGGGTTATGAGAATTAATTCAATTAAACTATAATCATATTAAAATGTAATCAACTAAAGGCTATGGGAAGTACAATGTTCTTCTCAAATAATAGGCACATCCAGCAGAAGAGGCATACCATACAGCGAGAAAGTGATCGGAAAGGACGTTCTCCAGCTGCTTCATCTAGAAGCATTTTTCCAATGCAGGCATTAAACGATACCTAACAGTGGGACCCCCATTTTAACCTTTTCCGTGCCTGCCCTTCTAGATGATCAACGAGTTCAAACACTAAAATCTCTTGCCATGTCTCCTCTTAATTCCTTCTTTATTCTCTTCATCTAGAAGATTTCGTCACACCTGCTTCAACCCCACCACCCTCTCTAACGGTCTAGTCCAATGTCTCTTGCATATATTTATATTTGGGACACTATATTGATTTCTCATCAAACTTGAAAATCACAAAATCAGCAGATTGTTGGAATCGAATCAATCGGTTCCATATAGCCGTAAATACGCATACATAGATACATACCTTTTGCTTTGCTCCTTCGTTTTAGATGATGGGGCCCAGAGAATTTCATTTCGATAAAGAAGAAGAACACGCATTTGAAGCAGAAGAGACTCTTTCCCTCTCTGACCTTCCACTCACCGGCGATTCTGCTCAATGGGATTGTTCATATTCCAAAGAAGACGACGATGACGACTTCTTCGAGTTCATTAGTGAAGACTTTGCCGCTTCAACAATAGAGAGAGAGATCATCTTCTGTGGGAAAATCATCAGTCCCTACAAAGAATCTTCGAAAGACGCAAGACAAAGCAATACTCTAAACCAGAACGATAATGATAGCAGCATTCTTCTTCCCTGGGTTCCAAACAAACACACTTCCAGAACAACCATATCTCGCAACTCCACCTTACACAACGGACAAGAATTGAAGGATTCGAGGAATTTGATAGATAATTATTCCAGAGGGAGGGTTTCGTTGATGAGGTCAGCGACAAAGAGCAAGTGGTATTTGTTCACTTTTAGAATGCCGTCCACAAGGTTGCCGGCGGAGATGGAGTTGAGAGACATTAGGAACCGGCAGAGACGGAGGAATGTTCCGGCGACGACGAAGCTTCCAGAGCCGGAGGGAGGGGACGCGATGGCGAGTAAGAACAAGGGAAGGAGAATCTGGTGGTTTGGGAAGATGTTGAGGTCGTTGGGTTTGGGGTGCGGAAATAATACTAAGCAAGCAAACGACGTCGTAAAAAGCTTCATGTCGATGATGTGAATTACAACCAACCGCTGGCAATGTCAATGTGTCTGGACTCTCTAGCTTATCCAGGCCAAGTTGGCCCTTGGAAAAAGATCATGTCTATGATTCCATGGAAATTCTAAATTATTTTTCAAAAAATAAAAATAAAAAATAATGAAAAGAGAAGAATAGGGCATCATATTTTCCACTAAAAAATAAAATAAAATTAGGGCATCACATTTTTCCTTGTCTATTTTACAATTCACAAAATTTCTTTTTGATGAAAGTGCCCATTTGCTTCTCTAATTTTATATCATTTGTTAATTTAATCTCTTAATCATATAAAATATCTTTTTAATCATTTAACTTTAACATAATTAGTTTCAAATTTATTTTTTATGCCCATCATTATTATTTAAAAAATTAAACTTAATAAGAATATTGCATCAATATTTACTAACAATGTTAAAATTAGAGGATTAAAAAGAAATTAAATTAAATGATCAAATTGAAACCCTATGTAAAGTTAAAAAATAAAAAATCCATTTTGGCTATTCTTTTCTTTTTTTTTTCTTTTTTGAAAAAAACTAAACAAGTAACACGAGTTCCCTAGTGTGCATTTCCAATTCCACAAACGAGCATAGTGGCCTGAGGATCAATAGAAATTTATTGGTGTTTTGATGATCTATTTATTCAGTCAAGCCAAAAACTATTTTAGAATAGAAACACTCTTAGTAGTCAAGAGTTATGACCATTTAGAAACATACAATCAAACAATATTCATCTAGGCATATAATCTGCATTAAAAAGATATGGAAAAACGTAAGCAGAATTGTCCACCATCCATAATCCAGGAAGACGAGAAAAGAGATATTGACCTAATTGCCAGCCACCGGCTCTATCAAAATTTCAACTTCACTTTGAAGCTTTGTTTTGAGTATTTCTTCTAACAGTTTTCGAATACACTCAACTGTAAACCTAGAGGCAACATTACAAAATATTAACGGGATCAACAAAATTGTATTTGTTCTCTGCCTTGCCACTTTACAATGTCAGTTTCTAAAACACGAAGGTGTATCAAGTAGAAAAAGGCGACAACATTTTCATTTGTCTGTGTAGATCCAAAACGTGACATCAATTCTCCAATCATTCTTCAACCCATAATTTTCTTCCTCCCCCTTCTCAATTTCTTACTCCATCCACTGGAAGGTGTACCATTTACTGGGGCCCATCAATAACAGTCACATCCAACATGCCATTTTGATGCTGCATTTTCTCTTGACTATGTCTGCTGAGACCCTGCAGTAAGTGCCATGGCTAAGCTCAGGATAAAATAAAGGGATTGAATTGCGGAACATACTATCTCGACTTGAACCTTGTTTTGGTCCTTCACAAATGCATAAATTCTTTAATTGGTCCATTAACAGATTTTCATTCTCATTTTAGCTCCTCATGCTTCAGAATCCATTCATTCTAATCCCCCCATTAGTGAATCGCTAAATTGGCTAACGGACTTCAGAAAACGATTCTGTAATGTGGCATCATCGCTAGACCCATTAGCAAAGTCAGAAGTTCATTACTAAAAGAACTAATTGGAATGATTTTGAACAGAGGAACCAAAATGAGAACGAAAATCTATTCAGAATCAACTTGACAATCGGTAAATCTGTGGTTGTAGAGCACTAAAATGAGAACGAAAATCCATTAAGAATCAACTCGACAATCGGTATATCTGTTGTTGAAGCGCACTAAAATAGGATCTCAAACCATAATATCCCCAACAGTGTCTTCTTCCTTGACATGTTGGTTACTAGAAAATTAAGTCCACCTTCTTCCCGTGGGAATTTTACAGATCATTATTCCATTAAATATAACAAAGCTAAAAAGCAGAAGGATGGTAAACTTTTTCGTCATGCAAAACAGCAATGATTAGATCATTAATTCTAGCAGGTGGAAATGGCATCCTCCAGTACTGACCCTAGCATTGTACCCCAAATAATAACTTGCATAGGTAGACCTAAACAAATACAAATTAACAGGAGAAGGATGTGATTAAGTAAACACTAAACAGGACCTTTGGTTTTGAGATCAACTTTCTGGAAGTGGCCTTGTTCAGGATGCTCTTATAGTAATGTGTAAAGGGAGTGTTGCCGCTTCGTTTTTCAACCTGCATAATTAGCCATATAACAAGACCCAGTTATATCTGTGGCCACGACATAAATTCAGCCAGGGAAGGGGGTGGGGGGACCTGAAGAAATGATTCAACAGACTGCAGATCCTTTGGTGAGAAAGTCGCATCATCTCTTTTCTTCTCCACAAACTCAACATTCTGCTCCACCTACAGCCCCAACCCCCACCCAAGCACATAAGAATAAGCGGACCAAAACAAATGGGAAAAAGATGGGCACATTCATTATGGTCTACCATCTACATTGACAAATAAGGACAGAAAAAAATGACTTCAGAAAAATCAAGCTTCAAATGATTGGTCCCACAGGACTAAAAGTTAAACAAACTATGTTAACACATACTTGTTATCGGCGTGCTCACCTCAGGCCCTAAAATCAAGATGATTAGTGCAAGAATTTCAGCAAATTGAGTTAGGTGGTTTTAGTTTTGAAGTTCCTACATTCTTTTGGATGCCTGACATTTATTTGCATGTGGAAATTCCATATAGCAAGTACTTAGGGCCCATTTGGTATGATAGAATTGAGAGGGTGAAAATGGATATGGAATTGGAATTAAAAAAATTTTATATGTTTGGCTGGTTAAAATGAAGTTGAATTTGGCTTCCACATGGAAATCATTTCCGTCAATTTTGATGGAAGTGGGTTCCACCAAAAAATCTCAAATTTGCAATGCTAGATCTCCTTATTCATTTTTTACCCTTCTTCTCTCTCTTCCCCTTCCACCTTCTTGTGAATGACGGCGACCTCAGCATCAGTCATTAAGACTGATGTCCAATGTTCGATCTTCGAAATCTGCTGCTCAGTCGTCGTCCCTCATGCTGTTCCCTTCACCAACATCGACAACCTCCTCCCTCACTGATTCCACCTGTCTCTCTGTCTTCTTTCCCTTACCTTGCTGATTTGCTGCCATAACCCATCTTCAGCTTTGACCATTGATGATATCGGGGAGGGAAAATCTCCACCACCTCCTCCTTCTTCGCCACTGTCAAGACGTTGCTGCTTGCCTGACTGACTTGGTTTGAGTCTATGTAGGTTCTCCAGCTGCTTCTGCAATTGCTGATGGATCGCAATTTTTGCTTGATTTCCGTAGAAACGAACTGTATCTAATTGATTTTAGCCCCATAGGCTGCGATTTTTGCTTGATTTCTGCAGAAATGATCTGGGTGATTAATATTTAATCATTTTTTTATGAGGATTTCTGCTTGGATCTGAGTGTTTTGGGTTGGGGCAATTTTTTTAGATGAGAGCATTTTAGTATTTTCATATTTTTAACATTAATATTTAATAAAAATAATCTCTCAATTCCATGAACATACCAAACATATTTTTAAATTCCATATCCATCTTCACTTTCATATCTATTTCCATTTCTATCAAAATCATTTCCACTGTACCAAACGGAGCATTAAGGAAGAGAGAAAGAAAAGTTTTATTAGAACATGTACCTGATCAATAAACCGCTTTAGAACACGTTTGAAATTCTCAAAAGATGTTAGCTCACAGAACTTCTTAAGATAGATAAGCGGAATAGTTGCCAGCTCAGGAAAAGAAATGTTGTAACTCCATTGAGCAAAGTGTTCTGTAAGCAGCTCAATGGCAGATGAGAAGCACTCTTCTTGGAATTCTCGTGATTTTAACCAATGCTTTGGCAGCTGCAAGAATTATTCAAAGCTTAATACAGCAGTATCATTCATGAGTCTAAATATAAATTCTGGGTTAACAAGCCAAGTGATATTATGTGACAATGACATTCCAGCTAATCTAGTCTAGCAAACACAGATGTCAACTTTACAGCTTCCATTCTAATGCCTGACCTTAATGGCTGACAAAGGCTCAAACACTTTCCCAGGTTTCCCACCATCTTTACTAATTTTGTATTCCAAAACATCCAGCACCAATGATGTAACAGGGATGAAAACCCCACTAGAACTGGAAAGATGATTAAGCCATTGAATGCATCTAAGTCTCAACGGTAAATATCTAGGACCAGGAAACAGTAGAGCAACTCCAGTTATGATCTGTACGATCATATACAGCAACGGTTGGAGATCATAGTCATGTATGTTTGTTGATGTAAAGGCAACCCAGAGATCAATGCAATGGACATAATGCCAACTGCTTATCTTCTTAACCTCTTCCTGCCCATAAGAAGCAAACTATCAGAATCGACATGGAAACATTATTCCACAATCCGTAGATACATACTTATGCTGTCTAACAGTCAAGAGCAAAAACTTGAACACATATTACACAAAGAAAAGACAATAAAGAGGATTATTTTGAAGACTTACCTTATTTTTTGTTTGCCACGCCTTCTGCAATATCTTGGCAACATGTTGCATGCATATCATTGCTTTATTAGATGATTTCTGCACATCTACGGAGCATAGCTCCACAAAGCAATTCCTCAAAAATTGTAAATGTTTAAACCTTGGTTCAACAGATTGAGAGTGAGTAATGTAAGCCTTGTATATTTTAACAAAGCAGTAGTCAAAATAATTAGAGCTGAAAACTGAAGCTATATCTCGTATGATCTGAAAGGAGTGTGATGACAAAGACTCATCACCTGTTGCCCACAGATGGACAGCAATCTGCAATAAATTTCAATAAATGCTGAGGCAGATCTTAGAAGTATAATTGATGTAATTGAAAATCTGCTAACAAGTTACAACTACCAAGTTGTCAAGAGATAGATTCGAAACCATGCCAACTAAAAAACTGTAACCTAGAAATGAGTAGTCTTTATCTTAACAACAACAGCTGGCAGCACCACAGCATAATTCTGCTTCAACAAGAACCCTTCTGCACATCCTTATAAACTTATTGCAGCACTTTCTTCCAAAAGGAAAACATTCCACAGCTGATGAAAGCAAACCCAGGGCACACAAAAAATAGACCAATAGAGGAGGATTTGATTCTTCTTGGAAAAACTATTTTTTTCATAATTCATTACATGCCAAACAATGTTAAGAAATTGCTGAAAATCTTCCAAGAAGGTTGCACAAGCATACAAATAAGTCTACCATGTAATCATAATTCTTATACCTTGACTACCATGCAATCACATAAAATATGTGATGATGGAAAGTGTTAATAATCTTTAAAAATTGAACATCAGGAAGTTATCTCTTAAACTATCCTGCTCAGCAAAACATGATGGATTTTCAGTATCAAGATGTTACCTTGACAAGCCTCCGAAGTAAAGATGGATATGCAGCCAGAAATATGATTGAAGCTCTGAGTTGAGAAATTGAGAAGGCCAATATTTCAGAGTCAGTAACCTGGTTAAGGAGGAGTATGGTACTCCTCAAGTAAGACTTAATAAGCGGCTTTATAGATTTCCATTTAGTTGTACTCTTTATCTCCAACACGGTTTCCTTTCTAAAACTAGAACTTGGTATTCCTAATAACTTCCTAAATGTATGATCAGCCTCGTGTAGTGTAAACATCAATATCTTGCAGAAAACTTCACTCTTTTGAATTCCATGTGATAAGACAGAGCCAGAAACACTGGAATTTTCAGAACCATAGTGACAAGCTGCTCGATAAGCATTTAAGAGACAAGTAAGGGCAGGCACACTATGCTGCTCTTTGACCAATTTACACCAAGAGTCAACAGAAGCACTTGTCAGCTGCTTGGCCACACAAGAATGCATGGATTCACTATTCATTGGCAGTACCTCATCATGACTGCTCTCATCCTCATCAGAATTCTGGCAAATGATTAAAAAAAGAGTTCAGTTTCAGTAAACACAAGGGCAATTTGGGTAGAGAGTTCAAACTACCAACTATATCGCTAGCCACCTAGACACTAGGTGAATAAATATGTTATTTATGGAAATGCATATTTATTCATAAGCAATTGAACCAATCACAATACTAAAGAAAATTATCAAATAACATCACATGCACCATTATAAATGATCAAATAAAGTGAACTGTCATGCTCTAAACTAAAACTTGAAACAAGCTAGCATCTGGTGATATCTTATGTCCCACCAGTGCTGAATGACCTCATTTGCATCTTGAAATGAACATTTAACCATATTATGCTAGTAGAAATCTCCTACAAAAATAGAAGTAAGAAGCCATCAAGTTTCAACATGGAGAAAGAGTATAGAAAAGGGGGGCAAAACTGAATTACATAAAATTATTAAAAATAATAATGTCCCCCAATTTCTGTTAATATTTGCATAAAATTCCTTAAATCCTTCAAAAAATGCCATTGACTGAATACTCATCCGGTTTTTTTTATAAGTCATTTCTACCAATCTCATCAATACCAATGCAAAAAAAAGTAAAAGAAATATAAGTGTAAAATTCCAAATATGCCCCTATGTAACAAAGCTAAAAAGTAATGTCATGTTACTTTTTCTCTCATGAAGGATAATTTTGGAAATACTTTTCAAATATTACCTAAAAAGTCACACCATTACTGATAAATAAGACCAAATAAATCTTTTAGAATGTTCCTTATAAATGGGATCGAAGGAAGTACCACACAGATGTCAAAAAGACAATTCCTTCCCACATCTATAAGGAGTTTAGTTTCTTCTAACACATTTAGGCATTTTCTCCACTCAAATACACCAAACTATGGCACATGCAAACCTCCACCAAACCTTACCGTTTCAATGCCTCCCAAAACCCAGGAAATGAGTCGACAAAAGATTCTCCAAATCCACATAATTACTTACCCAGCAATCCTTTCTCTTGATAGAGAAAAGTAACTTATTACAGTAATGGCACATAGAAGGACAACCCATCCTCCTATGAAAAAAAAATTAGGGTTAAAAAAAAAGACATTAGCTTAAATAGCTTTCCAATTGCTCTGCAATTACATTAGAGACCCAAAGGCTAAAACCTATAAAGAAGCCAAGATCTATATTGAAAGTTCTTGCATCATGTTCAAGATAAATGCAACAGAGCCATGCAAACCCAGCGCACCTCCAAAAGGACTCTAATGAACCAGGGCAAAAAACCACCGCAGAACAGAGTGTACCACTCAATCAACTTCATAAACACCCTAGCAAATTCCAAATGATCACTGGGTCAAGGCTTCTAGCACCCATTTTATAACTAACAAAATCATCTCAGCCACTATCCCTATGGACGTCTGCTATGTGTCTTGGGTAATCCCCTCAAGATACAAAGACATTTAACAGGGAAACTAAGAGTGCTAAATAAAAGGAGTATAAGAAATCCTTCAACAAGAAATAAACTAGAAAATCAAGGAGAGAGACAAAATAGGTACATCAGCACAAAAGAGAGCAGACCAAGTAAATAAACTAGAAATGGAGCACTATTATAATACCTCCCTAAAAACAGACAACATTATTTTTTCCAGAGGGAAGGTGGAATTTTAGCGATATTAATAATCATATCATTTATCACATATAGCAACAAAACAAGAAAAAAAAATTAACTTTCTAGTAAAAAAAATTCAACAGGAGAAATTCAATTAGTATACTGAAGAAAGACACTAAAAGACATCAAAGAGTGCACAAAAAAATTCCTAAGAACAATTTTCTCAGTAACCCTCCAGATTCAAATCAAGCAAACATTGAATTCAACAACTCACAGTCTGTTCATCTCGGCTTTGCTCCATTTTCTCAAAATAGCTTTCAAGAAATTTTGAAAATCTTGCATCCTGGAAAATGTCAGGCAGAGTGCCAAGTAAGAAAGATGAATGAGCAACACTAACTGGAAACACAAGAAAACCGATTCTGCATTTATCAGAATCTAACAATGAAAAAATGAACATAATGTTAGAACATTTAAACTTTTTATCATGAGGCTTATCCTTCTTAAAGAAAAAATTATGCACGAATGGAAGTAAAGCTAATCATTTTCTTTTTCCTTTTTATTTTTTAAACATGAAAAAAAATAGTTAGTGCAACAAACTTGACTATCCATGACTCAAAATAAAATGAAAATAAGATATTTTTCTTCAAACTTTGATGAAGACCTTGACCATTACTTGAGAGCTAGAATTTCAAGATAGCATTTTTTTCCATTCATCAAAGTTACAAGAAAAGAACAAGATGCTGCAAGTACTCAGATACAGCATGAGTCAAATTTAAAAGAAAATCAAAGAGACTTTCCCAAAAGTGAGGCAAGAGGGAAGTAGGAAAAGAACCACCTATCTGAACACTGAATGGTTTGCTATGGTGGCTCATTGTATTCACAACCCAACTTCAACAGAGAAGACAATAGTCTCAAAAAAGAAAACACTCTTGCTCAAATAGTGACATGATCTCAGAGTGAACAATTGGCAATTCTAGAAGAATAGCTCCAAGCAGGGAATGCCCCACTTGAGAGTGCTCGGAGATTATGCTTTTTTAAGCATCTATTTCAATTAAATAGATTTTCTAGTTGTTTTAATTAAGGAGTACTTGTTGTCAGTTATTTCTGAACATGGCTTCTATGGATTTATGATTAACTTTAATTTGAAAGAAAGATAAAAGACTTTATACTAACAAGCACCTGCATAGTTATGATACAGGAGGAATTACCTGTTCTTTCACTTTGTTCAACATTTTTGTCCTCTTCAAAAGTTCTGCATTGATATCTCTGTTCTGCACAGATAAGGCACTACCACTAGCGCTGTCTGAAAGTAACTTCAATCAAGATTCAATGAGATACAAAGCAAGTGCTGGGAAATCATACTCAAGTTAAAATCAGAAGCCAAGAATTTCCTTACTCTCAATAAAATTTTCATTTTCATTTCCAGTATCATATGCAAAGCTTGAGTCCTGATCACAAATACACGCAGCATGCATCAATTTTAACAAGTTAATGCTAAAAATGGTTTTGGTGATAAATTATAATCCAAACCTCTGGAAGAAATTCATCACTGCCTGAATCGTCTCCTATCATCCCACTATCATCTTCACTGAATATGACATCAAGGGAAGCATCTTCATTTTCTTCACCACCGTTGTTTCTGAGAACAAATTAATCTCCAGTAGTTAGTCCAAGATCAATTGATGAACCATCAGCTAATAGTTTAATAATAATTCTAATAGCAATATCCAAACATTTTTAAAATCTTCCTCGTCAGATAAGTTATCCCCTATTTACTTAACCATTCCTCGCTTCTACCTTTCCAGATTTTTTTAATGGAAAAAGAGACATATCATTAATCAAAGAAACAAGGTACAAGTAGAAGAAAACTATATGGTCATGATTACCACCACCTCAGAAACTAAGGTGGGTGATCGAAAAAGTTATGGTCAATAGACAGAGTGTCCTAGCCTAGCTAAAATGTTAGCATCCCTATTTGGCTCTCTGTACACAAATGTGAATTTAACATTCCAATTCCAACACAAAATTTTTCTAACAGAGTTAATAATCTCTTGGAAAGGATGATAACTACAGTTGTCCCTTGTGATTATTGAGATAGCAGAAGCACAATCACAAAACACCTCCAGTGTTCTAAATCCTTTAACCCAACAAATTTCAAGACCTTTAAAAGTACCAAAAATTTCAGAGATGACAGGAGGTACAGTCTCTAATTTATAACTGAAGCCTTGAATCCAGTTGCCCACTGCATCTTTAATAACTCCATTACATGCTCAAGATCCATCTTGGAGGACTGAACCATCAGTTTCCAGCCTGAACCTTTCCAGATTTAAGATGAATGTTTAGGAAACTAATGATGCATACACAGCTCATTTATCAATAATTATATGCCCATAGTCTAAAACTAAGAACTACAATCCCTAAAATCCATGAAGACATCTGAAAGTTAGAGACCTATAACATTGAATACTCCTCGGGAAAAGAAGGAGATGTAAGGAGGGCAACTGTGATGTTTGCTTTTGTTCCAATATGAATATTTATAGAATCTTCAGAGTCTTAGAACATTATTTTCAAAGAAAAAGCTAACTATGCTAAAAAATTCTAAGGGAAAAAAGGGGAGAAAGAAAGGAAAGGAAACATAGATAGATATACATACGAATGCATAAAAACATCCTTGTAAGCATGGATATGTGATAAGATTTATGCAGTTAGGAAACCTTTTTACCTTCCATTTGATTGTTCTATCAAACCCATTTCTTGATCTTCCTCAATATCTTGACTATTTTCTGTTTCAATCAAATTTGACAGAAAATTGAAAGCTCAAATTAGTAAAGAATTAGAGAGTATTAATACATACATTGGTTGAAAATAAAGAAGTGAATTATCTTTTTTTTTCCTTGGCACATCTAAAATTTTGCATTATGAAAATGTCTGAAACTATGACAAAATACTTTGAAATTGCTACATGACACCTTTTAATAAAAGAATTTACTAGAAGAGAGGAAATAGCTACCATTCAAAGAGGAGAACAAATCCTCCCAAAACAAAAAAAAAACAAAACAATGAAAATCCCCCCTCCCCTAGAAAAAAAGAAAGGAAGAAAGAAAATGAAAAATAACAGATGATTAGCTTAAAAGAGCCCCTTTCACCCAAAAAAAGAGCTCTGCAAAAGAGAGCTCCTTCCACTTCATCAAAGAAACCAGGAGCTGACAACCAGAAAGACACAGCCACAGGATCTTAAAATCCCTCCTTCAACAAAAAGTTTTAAATGTCCCAAAGAGGCCGTACAACTCACAGCTGCGATGAGCAAAAATTCCATAAAGGTAATTTCCACTTAGAGAAATTATGAACACTAATAAATAAATTAAGGCATTCAATCAGTAAAGAAGGGTATTCATTACAGAAAAATGCAAATTAAAGAATGCCCATCTTGTCACAACATAGAATCATCACTTCTGTTTAGTGATGAGAGAAAAATTACCAAGAGACACATGAGAATGACTGAAAAAGAAAGAAGTACAGTAAGGAAGTCAACCTAGAATATATATATATATATATAAAGAGTAAAAAGATCATATAACCCAAAAAAATGTGCATCACCTCAAGATAATAAATCCTTACTTTTAGAAGCTTTCCTTTTGAACATAGAATTTGTCTTCCTCTTTTTTCTTTGAACAGACTGTAGGTTCTTTTTAGCAAACTTCCTTGCCTTCTTCCCTAGCTTTCCCATTTTGCAACAATATCAGTGGAGACTCTGGACACAAGCATTAAACACAATTTTTATGTCAATACCAATGTGCATAGACACATATAGAGGGATACAAGAGCTTATGATGAGAATGACTAAAAAGCCATGAAAAAGATTATAAATGTGTGGCAACAAGGAATTTCAATACACTGAAACATGCCAGAAAGATCTTAATCAGTAGGAAGCAATAGATAGAATTGTTTATTCTTACTTCAGTTTAACATAGGTGCAGTTTATTCAAAACAAGTTATTTGGGAAGCTTGTCAAAAGATGTTGAAAAAGAGTAAGTAATGGATAAATCATTTATCTACTGCACATCAATAGGCATGGACAGCATCAGTAGAGAAATATGGGAAAGCAATGCAGTGCTAGGTAAGAGAAACCAAAAATGGAAATGGTGCCATGTTCCTTTTTGTAAGTCTTAATCTCAACTTGAAGTTGGAATCGGTGCCAGATATGGAAGAGAAGCCATGAAACTTGAAAGTTGAAACCATCACTCCTATAAGTGTTAATTCAAAATTCAAAGAAACCAGAACTACAATTCTTTCCTCTGTCAAAAATGCAAAATGATATCAACTACTTTGATTATCACTCTCAAACTACTCCATCCAGCATGCTGAATTAAGAGAAGAGAAAGGAGGAAGAGAACAAAGGCAGGGTACCAGTTTACCAGGCTCTTGTTGAAGAAACTCGAACGCCAAACTACAGGCTACTGCTTGAGACAGACGCCGAACTCTCGAAGGAAGGACGGAGACAGAGGAACGAGGGAAGCGGCCGAACTCGAAGCCAAGGAAAGCGAGCTAAGGGCTAGGAAGGTTTCATTCTTCAGCCTTCCCCTACGGCGTATGTACAGTATATTCAATTTAATTAATAATTAATTAAATTAAATTGACTAATTAATTATTAACGTATCACGTCCCAGATAAAAAAAAATATTTTTTTAACTTGTTTACAAATCAACTGTTAATTAGGAGTCAAACTTCAGTATTTACAAGTGATTGCAGTCAATAGATAATTTTTTTTTATAAGACTTATATATAATTTTCCTTTAAGGCTGTGTTTGGATGGGTGAATTTAAATTAAGAATTTGAATTTAAAATTTCACATTTGAAATTCATAAATTTTAAATTTTTTGTTTGGATAATGTAAAAAATGTCAAATTACAATATTAAAATTCTTTATTTGGATTTAAAGTAAAATTTTAAATTTTAAAATCTATATTTGAATTTTAAAAAAATTGAAAGATTGGTTAAACTCGACAATTCGAATTGCCAACTTTCAATAAGATCAGACAAACAAAGTTGAGTAGGATTATGGCACCAATGACAATTGGGACAGGACTTTCGATTTCCACCAGGACAAACCTGACGAAGACGACAAGGACCAGATTGAGGGGGACGATGGGGATCAGACGGCCGACTTTTACTAGGATCAAACCCAAGGCCGTGAGAGCCTCAAGGCAATTGAGACAATTGCCTAGGGCCCCAAAAAAATTCATTCATATCCTAATATGAAGTGATACATTTGTACAAATTTATAATAAACTAGACAGTTCCCGTGCGTTGCACGAGTTAGAATTAAAAAATTTAAAACAAATATCATTGATGTAATTGATATTGACACATCTAAAATAGTTAAATTTTTAAAATTTTTTTATTCAATCATTTTTCTTTTTGAATATTTCATTTTATACACATCTTGTCTTTAGCTAAATTTAAAATTTATTGTTAATAATTTAAATTATTAAACCTTTTAGAAATATTCTACATATTAAAAGGTCTGAAGGAAGAAAATGGATTTGTGCCTAGAATGCATAAGAAAACACACTCTTATTTGTTCCTCATCAAGAAGGCGAGATGTATTTTTTTCTTGTATTTATGCATGTATGTGTGGTGAAAGAATTGAATATATATTGTTTGCAAAATGTATGGTTTGAAGAGTCAAGACCACAAAATAAAGATTGATGATCTAAATCAAACTTAAATTTATTTTTATTTTCTTTTTTTCTTTTTACAGATAATAATAGTTGATGAGAGTTGATTAGTATTGAGTATAACAAATCAGGAAAATACATAAAAAATAGGAAAAAAATTAAATCTCATTGATTAAAAAAATTGAAAAGGCATGGAAAAGTATAGCAACTATAGAAGGATAGCTGGATGGAGTTAATGCTAACAATTAAAGAAATTTAAAAATGGGATTGCTCCTGTAAAAATACATGAAAAATAAAAAAATAAATTAAATTTCATTGATTAGAAAAATTTAAAAGGCATGAGAAAGTGTAGCAAATAGAAAAAGATACTCGAATGGAGTTAATGCTAATGATCATAGAAATTTAAAAATAGGATTATTCTTGAACCAATGCTCCCATGAAAGTAGACTGAAAATATATAAAAAATAAAAAAATAAATTAAATCTCATTGATGAATTAAGAAAAATTTTTATATTAACATTAGCCTAAAATCTATTAACCAATGCAATAAGAGTCAATTTTTCTTGACTAATCATATTGAAGCTACGAGATTCTTCTCCCTGACATTGGTTAGAAAGAGGTGTGAAACTCCTTCACCCTAACCGCCCAGCTTTCCACCATTGATGACAAACCTATTTAGGAGAATGGCTTATCAATGATCGATTAAAGCATATGAGATTGAAAGACATAAAGATATTTTTATATTGGGAACAGAAACTCTCTAGCAAGACTAGAGAGTATGGGAAACAACATAGTTAATGCTTCCATAATAGATGACTTAGGGAAGTTTTAAAATAGAATTTAATACTCCAATCCTGTAAAAATAAAAAAATCAATTAAAATAAATAAAAGAATAAATTAAATTCTATCAACCAATTAGAAAAAATATTTAATCACGTCAACCAATGAAATAGTAATATTCATATTAATATTAGACTAAAATTAAATTGATCATATAAAAATTACTTGACCAATTAGAGAGAATAATTAATATATTATACCAAAGTATGTTGACTAATAGGAGAGAGGAGATTTGTGACTAATCACCTTCATCCTACAAGATTTAGATATTTAATATTTATTTAATTTAATGCTCCCATCCCATGGAAAGATAAAAATCAATTAAAAAATAAAAAATAAATTAAATTATGCTGACTAATGAGAAAAAACATTCAATCACATCAACTAATGAAAAATTAATATTAATATTAGACTAAAATTAAATTGATTATACAAAAATTAAATAGGAGAGAATAATTAACATTATACCAACATATGTTGATCAATGAGAGAGAAGAGATTTGTGACCAACCATCTTCATTCTATAAGATTTGTAGGTATATATTGATGAAAAGAGGTGTGAAACTCCTTCACTCTGACCGCCCAACTCTCCACCATCAACAACAAAACCATTAAGAGAATGGCTGATTAATCATCAATTAGGGCATATGAGACTGAGAGATGCAAAGTCATTTTTGTATTGGAACAAAAACTCTCTAACGAGGCTCGAGAGTATGAGACATAACATAGTTAATACTCTCGTGATAGATGACTCAGAAAAAATTTGAAATAGAATTTAACGCTCTCATCTTGCAAAAAGAAAAAAATCAATTAAAATAAATAAAAATTAAATTAAATTCTATCAATCAATTAGAAAAAAATATTTAATCACGTCAACTAATGAAATAATAATATTCATATTAATATTAGACTAAAATTAAATTGATCATACAAAAATTAATAGACCAATTGGAGAGAATAATCAATATTATACCAAAGTATATTGGCTAATGGGAGAAAAGAGATTTGTGACCAATCACCTTCATTTTACAAGATTTGTAGATATATATTGATGATGATTATTATTTATTTATTTACTTCATTTAATGCTCCCGTCTAGTGAAAAGATAAAAATTATTTAAAATAAATAAAAAATAAATTAAACTATGCTAACTAATGAGAAAAAAAATTCAATCACATCAACCAATAAAATAGTAATATTAATATTAGATTAAAATTAAATTGATTATACAAAAATTAATGGGCCAATGAGAGAGAATGATTAACATTATATCAAAAGTATGTTGACCAATGAGAGAGAAGACATTTGTAGCCAATCACCTTCATTCTACAAGATTTATAGACATATATTGATGTTAAATGAAAGAATAAAGCCCCAATTTTTCTCCCACTAAAAAATAAAAAACTTTTCATATTCCCAAAATAATATTAAATTTTTAGGTTGGCTCCAATTTAACCATTAATAACCATTAATTTTTGTTAAATCATTATCTCAAACTCGATGAGAAAGTAGAATTGAAAATGTCAAAGCAATAAAGTTTTGAGAACCACAAATAAGAGATGCTTTAATTCAATTATCAAAATCAAGTGAAGATTCCAAAATAAAAAACGAAGTAATGTGTTTATCTATTTATGAGAGAATTTTGAGTTTTTATTATGAATGAATATCTAGTATAATATATTATTTGTTATAAATTTTGTTAGTAAGATCTTTCAGTCCATATGTATTACACATAAATGTTCGTATAAATAATTTAAAAAGTCTTATTACTTATTTAAAGAATTTTAGAGAAAAATGGTTTTGCATTTGCTTTAGAATTTACAAAAAACAATTTCTACTAAAATGAACATAAATCCTAATTTTCATGAAAAATGTACAAGTCGTAGGTAAAAACATTTTGATGAAAATATGAATGATGAAATCTTACATTAAGCTAAAGATTCTTTTCATATTGAATATTTTTTATACATTTTAGATCAATCAATTTCTTCTATTGACAGTTGATTTGAACAATTTTATCATTTTTAGTTTTTTATTTGAATCTAAAAAATTTAAAACTTCGGATGATGATGAATTGAATAAATTTTGTATTAATATTGAAAAGTTCTTAAGTTTTAATAACAATTTTAATATTGAAGGTTTTAATTTATTTTTAGAGTTAAAAGTTTTGAGAGAAATATTGTAACACACCAAATTTTTTTTTTAAATAATTTAACTCAACCATAGTTGGGTTACAGCCACCCAACACATTTTTATATCAATAATTTCAATATAAAATATTTTATAATTGGCTTCAACTCACACACTATAACATTTCAGATAAATTTTTACCTCCCACATACCATTAGGCTAAATCACATTTGTCCATCCTTATACTCCCAACAAGTAAACTAAATCATATTTGTCCATCCTTATACTCCCAACAAGTAAAATAAGCAATTTAGTCAATTTTCAACACAAGCCAGTTATTTGGCCTTATAATCATGCCATTTTAACCAATCCAAAGTAAACTAAATATTAAAATTACAGTCATCCAAATTGTACCAAAAATAGAAATAGTTTGAAAGGCATGATTACATTTATATATTCATATAATTGACAATAAACAAAAAGCCCTAATATTGGCAATATAACACATTATAAATCATAAATTAAATACCCAAAAGAGACAGTGGATCTATACCACTAAGCCTCTGGGACTCCTCCACGTGTCACTCGTGGCTCTTCTCCTGAAAATTGTTAACCACATAATGAGACTCAAAAGTCCCAGTAACCAAAGCCAATTTATGATAGTGTATACAAACAGTTAAGTGTGTGCTTACTAAGTGAGAATTAAAAATAATATAATTTCAACAAATATAAGAAATATTACAATACACACAAACAACCATCCTTATATCCCTCCATTAACCTCGAGCCGTAGCCCTCACTCGGTGCTAAATTACCCGGCCAAAGGTAGATTAGCCCGAGCCCTTACAAGCCACCTATTGAGCTCCAATAGGGGCGTACCACGTGGCACATAAATATAACAATAATAGCAAGTCTCC